CTGACTGAACCCCATTTTTTTCCCCTTTATTGGTTCTCAGAGATGAGATGACTCCTGCTGGCCACAGAAGGCCAGTTTGTGATTGAAAGGAGTAGCTGTTCCCCACTGAAGTGACCTTCAGAGCACTTATTAGCTGCATATCAGAGAAACCAGGGATTTTTATTTATTTATTTGCTGTATCTGGTGTTATGGAAGACATCCATAGCATTTTGTAAGCCTATGGCCTAGAGTTGTATCAGAACAATCAGCCAATTGACTGTGGTAGCCAGTCAACACAAAAAGTCATTGTAGAGAGTAAGAGAGTTACCTGAAGAATATTCTTTTTAAAGATTTTGGCTTTTCCATATCTTGGCATCCCTCTAGGTCTGCTGATATTATATCCTTCTTGTGCATTGATGGAGTTCCTTTAAGGTTACAAGTAATCATACTTTCCTCACAAATACCAGAAACACAATGAGCTTCAACCAATAAATGAGTCACTTAAGGAAGCATTTTCTTTATTTATTTTTCATTTTCTTTTCTTTTTTTCATTTCCCACTCCTGTAATACACTAGGGTAGAGGTGTGAAACTCGCAACGTCATGTGACATGTCATGATGTGGTGTGACTTTTTCTCCATTGCTGGCAACGAGGTGGGCGTGGTTTTGGCATGACGCATCCAGCCCACGGGCCGGCAGTTTGACACCCCTGCACTAGGGCCTTAAAATATAAATGGGTGCGATCTACTACTAAGCACTTACTGGGCAGACTAAGTTTTCATAGAGAATGCTCAGGTAAGAAGATACATATTCCTAATCTTTGAATACAGGTAGTCCTTGACTTACTACCACAATTCCATTCCTAAGCAAGGCAGTTGTTAAGTGAATTGCATCCATTTTATGACCTTTTTTGCCACAGTTGTTACATCAATAACTGCAGCTGTTAAATGAATCTTGCATTTATTAAGCAAATCTGGCTTCCTCCATTGACTTTGCTTGTTGGAAGCAGGCTGGGAAGGTAACAAATGGTGATCACATGATCCCTCGACAGTGCGGCTGTCATAAACGTATGTCATTTGCCAAGCACCTGAATTTTGATCATCTGACTATGGAGATGCTGCAAGTGTGAAAATCAATCCTAACACACTTTTTCGGTGTCATTGTAACTTTGCGCTGTCACTAAATGAATGGTCGTAAGTTGAGGACTACCTGTACACATTGGCTAAGAAGTCGTCACCTCTTTCCAGTGATGAAAAATGACCTGGCAGTCTCTAGAAGTGGAGTGTTATTCCCACCACTTTCAAAAATGCTATCAAAACAACCGCAAGAACTAGTGTAGGCAGTGGCCAGGACTCAGTGCTGACCTGGAGCTTTCCTTCCCCAAAAATAAAAGATGAAGGAATATAGTAGAAATGACTGCTTATAACTGGCTTATTCATTGTCTAGCAAAAATTCAAAAGCTGAAGCTGCTTGGTTTACTTTGGTTGCATTTGCATATTATTGATCCTTAACTTTCCCATCCAGATTCAAACTAAGCAAAGTCCAAATAAATGCAACTGTATTTTTTTTCACACTTCTGCTTTGAGTCTTTACTTTTCCTTCCCTTGCTCTCCCTCCCCCTCTTATAAAGGGCAGGGATATTAAGATTTCTCCAAAATAACTAAACATGAAGTAATGTCACGATACGAACTCTGCTCCTTATGTAAAAGATAAAGGAGTCCTTGCGGATTTTACTCCGGTTATCGTTGCCATCTGTAAGGGGTGATGCTTATCTCTGTTTCAAGGGCATTGAACTAGTGCTGTCCAAAGACTCTTCCATGGGCATGTGGCCAGCATGACATCACGGAACGCTGTTAGCTTCCATTGAAATGGTACCTATTTATCTACTTGCATTTGCATGGCTTTCAAACTGCTAGGTAGGCAGGAGCTACAGCGAGGATGGGAACTCACCCCCTCGCATGACACTTAGGTCTCAAACCTAGGCTGCCAGCTTTCCAGCCAACAAGCCCAGTGTCAGGTTCAAAGCACATGTATGATATTGCCATCATTCTTGCTTCTCAGCTTGCCAACGCACTAGGGGGGAGGGGAGGAGGAAATGGAATGCAGGTTCCAGACAACAAGAAGTCAGCCCATGTAACCCAAGGACGTTTCAGCAGACATTTGCAAATACACAGAGACACTTTCTCATAACAATATCTTGACATTCGATTGGACCATATGACCTGCACTAATAAAGGGAAGGGAGAATTCTATGTTTTAACTATAGTGGATTGTGCAGGAAATAGCCAAAGTTGGTTTTGCTTTATTCACGCCCAAATAATGTACTCAATAAAGTTTGTATTAAGAGATCGGAACATCTTGATCGTGCTTGTTTGGTTGGGTTTGTCAGTCAGAACCTTGACACCCAGCATCTTAACCCCTGAGCCACCGCATCGCCCCTTATGTACTTGTGTACTAGCTCCTTATGTACTTGCATCTAACTCTGCATGGCATGCATGAAAGAGGTGGAGTTTAGGTTGTGATGTTGCAATGCACATCCCCCTCCCCCATGTCTGTGATCAGAGCCATCTGCAGGGAGATCAAAGGAAGGCATATGGTGAATACAGCGCTGTGCCATTGCAGCACAACCTCTTTCCCTTTGGCACATGTGTCACAACACAGCATGCATTTATGAAAGTGGCAGTGACAGCAGGACACTGCTTTTGTCATTTTAACAAAAATGCATCAGATCCTATGGATACCTCCACTTCCAAACCTTACAATCTGCAATTCTTTAATTCTAAAATTTAAACAGCAGGAAGGAGTCTTGTGATTTTCATGTTCTTGACCACTGGATTCCCCCTACCTTGCCCATAGAACAGGGATTAATGGGAGATGAAATCCAAAACATCTGGAGGGGATGCCAATTCCTGCATTTAAGGTTAATTTCTAAAGGCTCCTTTGGCCAGATGTTCAGTCACATAATTCATATGTGGGGGTTAAAGTTTAGACAGTAGCAAATCCTCTCTTTAGATGGCAAGTTTGATCTAAGGGCGAAGGCACCAAGGTAGAAACCAGGAGACGGTGAGTTCGAGTCCTGCATTAAGCATGAAAGCTGGCTGGATGACTTCAGGCCAGTCACTTTCTCTCAGCCCAACTCGCTTTGTGTTGTTCATAAAAATAATAAAGGCAGGATAAAATAAGGAATATTAAAATTTTCCAATCATTCTCTGGTTGGGACTTCGAACTTCTGCCCCGAAGTCCTATTTTTACCATTTCCTCTGATAAAATTTTCCTTGTACTGCAATATTTAATCCGGTTTCAGCGTCATTTTCACGCTCAGTTATTCTCCCTGTCATATCAATAATATATACAACCATTGTATCACCCAGGTTCCTGGGTCATAGGGAATGGTTCTACAAACCAGCTCCCTCCGTGAGATGAGAGTGCAGCTGTCTGCAGCTCATTAAAGCAGCTTTCTCTTCAGCATCTCTTCCCCAAATTGAATTAAATGCATTGTGAAGATTTAATGAGAACCAGATGAACTGTATGGTCTGGCTCTTCAATAATTTATCAGTAAAGTTGATGCTGAAGTTGATTCTCTCATCTACTATGTTGCTTTAAAAAATAACATTTCGGCCATGCTTTTGGCTGTAATCCAAGGAGTGTATTAATGGGCAATAAAATATATTTGGTTGAGTGGTTTTAAAAGAAAACAAAACATCCATTCCCAAAAGGAATGTCACAGACAGTACCACAATATGGAGCTCTTCCTTGAGGAAGATGGGCAACATCTAGAAACGTCAAATAGAAATAAACAAATCTTGCAACCAAAGCATTGTCGAATGAAAGAATAAAATAGAGTGTAAAAGATTAAAATAAAAAAGCATAGCAAAGAATAATAAAATAAAATGAAGAGAAGAGAAGCTGGAGCAAAACTGCTAAGCAAGTCCAATCCATTTACCCATCCATCTCGGCTCTCAGCAACAATGATATCTGCCAAGCCAGATGTAAAGAAGCCAAAGCTATCCTGATGTAAAATCTAACAATATCAGTCCTTGCCTGAACTCTATTCCAGAAGCAGCAGAATGTGGAACAGTACATCAAGCCTGTCACTAATACCTGGAACACCTTGCAAACAGGGAAGAATCTGCTGTTGCTGTTGCCACCATTTCTCTAGTCTTGCTAGCAAGAGAGAGAGAAAACAAGCACATACAAGACACTGGGACTCAGGAGAAGTCATGGTATTGCTATAGTTGGACCGCTAAGCAGGGATTCAGGGTGACACATCAAACAACTTTGTTCCATGCCGATCTATCTTCCCACCAAATTTAAAAGTGGAATGGATGCAGGAAAGAGAAAGGGTGAGAGAAACAAACAGTAGTAGAGACCATTGTGTCTGGGAGGGGAAGATGAGAAGCTGACACTTCTCTGCAATCTGGGGTGCTGTGGCCTGCTGGGGTGCTCTGGGAGCTAGATGATACATGTCAACATCAGTTATTTCTTCTTTGAGGGAGGAAATCAGGAGCAATTGTTCCTAATTTCTTCCTACATACAGAAGTCTCCTCTCCTTTCTCTATGGATAGAAGGAAATAAGAGTTCCTACCTTCTCCAGTACACAGAGAAAGAGACAGGAATCAGACTGGAGGATAGAGGAAGACTTTAGAGAAGGCAAGATTTCCTTCTATCAATACTTTGCAGGCCAGAGCAGATTTATTAGCCAAAGTTGGCCTGTGGACCGAACGTTCCTTCCTACTGAGATATAAAGTTGCAGTCCAGATTAGCATATTTCCAAATGCTTATTAGCAAATCAAGAGCAAGGAGGACCAATTTCCTGCCTTCTGAAGACCAGAAATATCTTCCCTTGTTTGGCCAACTCGCGAGACGTATCTGGACTCTTTTGCTATTGCCGGCAATGGGGTGGGCGCAGCTTCCGCGTGACATGGGCCGGCAGTTTGACACCCCTGGTTTAGACGTTTTCCTGATACCTGATTGAGAAGGCCCTCGTTCCACTTATATATAGTCCCATATACTGTTGTATTGACTCTGTATTATTTGATTCAATGTGCGGGTACTAGGGCTAGTACCTGCTATTTTACTGTCATTTGAAGGCAATATAGCTGCTTTGGAATTTCAGTGGTCCTTTCTTCAAGATTACATAAATTCTCCAATCTTCTCTTCAAGCTTTTTTGTATTAGGTCCAGTTACTTCAAAAATCTAGGATCAAACAAAAGTCAACACAGTTAATGGACGATCAGGAATTTGAGGAAAGTACTTCTCTCATGTAAGCTTCCTCGAGTACTTTTAAAATCCCTTTTGGCGTCTTTCCTCTGTAGAGTTCCAGTCATCGATGAGAATAAGCTCAGTGCTGCAATGTTTTGCCCAGAGAATCGCATGTTTCCATTAATGCTATTTCACATCAGCAAAATATATATTTGATTTATTAGTTATTAAAGAGAGTTTCTACAAAGATTACTCTTAGCCTAAGAAGTTACTGCTTTTTCACTCTAAAAAACAGATTTTCTACACTGCTTGGTTTTATTCAGTGCTTTTTTAAAGTGAACTTCACACTATTTCATTCTCATTAAGGCTACAGTATTGATTGCTCTATCAGTATTCTCTTGGTCTGAGGGTTCTTTAGAAACTAAGATCTTTTAGGAAAAGCAGGTGAGGACTGTATCTTCTCAAACTGGTTCTTTTTAATAATGTGATACCAAACAACTGGAGAGAAACTGAACTCGATTAGAAAAATAGCTCTGGGAAAAGGCAGAATTGCCAAACATAACAGTATAAACAGTTCTGATTTCCAGAGGAAGAAATAGTGGACTGAAAACAGCTCCACAAAAAGCAGAGCTGAGGACATCGGCAAAGAGCCGGTGAAGAGACCAGCTCTTTGAACCTCTCCAGGCAAGGGGAGGATTTGAGATTGCCCACAAGCACTTCAGACAGCTGCTCCTTGCAAGGAAACCACAAGATAGCTTTCTCCGGCAGGTTTAGAGGTCTGAGAGTTGAGAGAAGAAACATTTTGCTTAAACTACAGATGGTGCCATTGAAAGGACACTATCTTTGCATACTTCCTTTTCTAATTACTTTTGGAAATTACTTGTTAACTGCTTTTCAGCTATTAGGAACTTTTGGATCAACAAGCTTTACACCGTTTGATGAGTTCCCTTCAATCCTTAGTGAAAGAAAGATTTAACGGCAAGTTTGAGAATTTTAATAATTCTTTTTAATAAACAGCAAAAGAGGATTAAAATATTGATTTTATAAAGTTACAATTTCAATGCTCTTGAAAAATTTGAAATAAGACTTTGGATTTAATTATAAATAATCTTGTCTGTGGGGAAAATGCTTTTGTTTTGAATTTAAAAAAATAATAAAGATTATAAAATAATAAGATTATAAAAATTGAACACTAGAAGGAACTAAAGAAAGTTGAACAAATATGTAGAAAATCATTTTTTCTGCCATCAATTGGTCATCTGGATTGTTGCAGCATAACTGTTAGCTGTAGCATAAAATGACTATTTATCCAATTCCAATATATTTTATACTCTTGTGTTTTTTTGTTATTTTTTAACTATTGTGTTATTGTTCACTAATCTAGTTTTTTTTTAATTGACGCAGATATGCTAATCATGCTACTAATAAACTGAGGTAAAAAAGAACTACAGGTAGTCCTCAAATTACAACCACAATTAAGCCTAAAATTTCTGTTGCTAAGTGAAGCATTTGTTAAGTGAGTTTTGCCCCATTTTAGGACCTTTCTTGCCACTAAGTGAGACATTTGTTAAGTAAATCATTGCAGTTGTTAAATTAGTAACACGGTTGTTAAGTGAACTTGGTTTCCCCATTGACTTTGCTTCTCAGAAAATGGCAAAAGGTGATCACATGAACCCGGGACAGTGCAATTGTCATAAATATGAGTCAGTTGCCAAGCATCTGAATTTTGATCACATGACCATGGGGATGCTGTAATGATTGTGTGAAAAATAGTCATGTCACTTTTCTCCATGCCGTTGTAACTTTGAATGGTCACTAAATGAACTGTTGTAAGTTGAGGACTCACAAATTGGAAAATTTGATTCAAATTGGAAAAAAGAGAGCTGAGATTTTTCTCAAAAAAATATATATATGCTAATCTACTTTTTCATTATGTTGATAAGAAGGATACGTATGATGTGTGTGTTCCTTGTTCACCTTATCCTTAGTGAAAGAATATTAAAACAGCATTGGGGATTGTGTGGTCTTCAGCCTAATAAGATTGTTTGAAGATTTTGAGCCTTTGCAGATGACTTGGTTGTTACTTTGTCTCAACCTGTTTCTTCGGTGGTGAAATTATTACAATTGATTCAACAATATGGACGTGTTTCTGGCTTTAAAATTAATAATAATAAGACCAAAATATTAGCCAAAAACATGACTAATGGTGATAAACAGGCTCTAGTTAACTTAACAGACTTTGAAATTGTTGATAAGGTAAAATATTTGGGGGTTACATTATCTGCTTCTAATGTAAAATTGTATAAAAATAATTATGAAAAGCTGTGGATGGAGGTACAGAAGGATTTAAAAAACTGGAATAATTTACAGTTATCCCTTATGGGCAGAATTGCAGTTATTAAAATGAATGTCCTGCCAAAGTTTATTTTTTTGTTTCAAATGTTACCTATTTTAAAGAATGAACGTAATTTAGATGAATGGCAAAAAGGTATTAATAAATTTGTTTGGGCAGGGAAAAAACCAAGGGTGAAACTTAAAATAATGCAAGATTTTCGTGAGAGAGGTGGACTCAAGGTACCAAATATGAAATTGTATTATGATGCTGTAGTATTGACATTGATTAGCGACTGGGTGAATTTAACAAATACAGAAATACTTCATTTGGAAGGCTGGGACCTACTTTTTGGATGGCATGCCTATTTAATATTTAATAAAAAAGTGGATTGGGTTTTTAAGTCTCATATTATAAGAAACTCTTTGCTAAGAGTGTGGAGAAAGTATTATAAAAGTGACTTCAAAATACCATTATGGGCTATACCTCGGCATGCCATAGAAGGTATAAGGAAAGGGGTAAATATGGACAAGGTCTCTTACGTACAGTTACTAAGATGGGATGGCCAAGACTGGCAGTTAAAATCTTTGGAAGAATTAACACATGAAAACTTAACTTATTCATGGTTCCAATATAGACAAATAGTGGATAGATGGAAGATGGATTGTAAAATGGGCTGGCTTAGAGAAGATGAAATTTTTTTAAAACAAGTAAGAGATCAAAGGCCAACCCATATTAAGAGAGTTTATGGGGTTTTAGTGGAATTAGATTCAGAACTTGAACTAGTTAAAGATTGTATGATTAAATGGGCACAGAATATTGGTGAAACGATTTCAATGGATACTTGGGAACTTATTTGGATAAGAAATGTTAAATTCACACAAGCGCAAAATTTAAGAGAGAATTTTTATAAGATGTTTTATAGATGGCACCTTGACCCAAAGAAAATGTCCATTATGTACCCTAATCTACAGCCGAAATGCTGGAGATGTGGATATTTGGATGCTACCTATTACCATATTTGGTGGACGTGTAAGCATATAAAAGCTTTTTGGATTAAGATATGGTGGAATATTCAAAGAATTTTTAAAAGGAGGGTAAAATTTACTCCGCAATTATTTTTACTAGGTATTGTTATTGACTGTGATGCTAAGGAGGTTATATTGATGTTAAATTTGATTACAGCCGCTAGGTTGTTAATAGGACAATATTGGAAGAAGGAATCTTTGCCTACTTTACAAGAATGGTTTCATAAAGTTTCGTATTTGGCAGAAATGGCAAAGATTTCGGCTTTCTTAAAGGAGCAATCTCAAGAAAAATTTTTTGCGGTATGGGAAAAATGGATAAATTTTATACAACAAAATCTGGATATGGAAAAATATTATTTAGCCTTTTTATAATTTGTAATGATTGTTTTTTCTTTCTTTCTTTCTTCTTTTTCTTTTTTATATATATACATTTTTTACGTATTATTATTCATATATTTTTTTCCCTTTTTTTTTTTATATATATATGCTTTATTCTTCGTCTACTTTCTTCTTTCTTCTTTCTCTCTCTCTCTTCTTTTTTTATTTTTTTTTTAGTATATATTATTCATTTTAAAGTTCATGTTATGTATATTATTATTATATATATTATTACTGTGATTTTTATTATTATTATTAATTATTTTATAAGTTGCAAATGTTATTTTTAAAATATTTGTTAAATAATCCTATATTCAGTTCTGGGAAGTCGGGGGGGGGTGGGGTGGTTGGGGAGGGGGGGGTGGATTCTTACTTGTAAAACTTTTGAAAAATTTCAATAAAAAAAAAAAAAAAAAAGATTGTTTGAAGATTTTTTTTCCTGAATCTGCTTTGTTATTTTATTGCCATAAATGCAAATTGAGGAATAGCTATTACCGGTATTACTCAGTAGCAGAGGGAGGGGAAAAAAAAGTAATATATTGATTGTGTCAAAAGCTGTGATCAGTTAACAATCTAGATCTTCTTGATCTGCAGACCTAGCATTACTAAATATTGATTCTGCTCTTCCACCTGATAGGTTTTTACATTTTATAAAAGAGTTGGACTGGATAGTTATCCCAATAAAGGTCTATCTTTTTTAAAGGGGGACACAATGCAACCCCAAATGATGGACATCAGAGATGCAAGTATGAGCAATTAGTTGCCTGGCCCTACCTAGTCCAGATTGCTGGAAACCTGCAAAGCCGTTATGTTTCCCAGACTTTCCAGCAGAATATTCCTGGTAGTCCTCAACGTACGACACAACTGAACCCTAAATTTCTGTTGCTAAGTGAATTTTGCCCCATTTTATGACCTTTCTTGCCATAGTTGTTAAGTGAATCACTTAACAGACGTTAAGTTAATCACCTGGGTCTTAAGTGACTCTGGCTTCCCTGTTGACTTTGTGAGTCAGAAGGTGCCCAAATGTGATCACACATGACTTTGAGACATTGCAACCGTCCTAAATATGAGTCAGTTGTCAAGTTTCTGAATTTTGATCATGGAATCATGGGGATGTGCAAGTGTGAAAAATGGTCATATGTCACTTTTTCAGTGGTGGTGTAACTTTGGACGGTCATTAAATGAACCATTGTAAGTTGAGGACTATCTGTATATAAGTGTTTGCAAGGCAAAATGTATTCCTCCTTGCCTCTTCTTAACCTGGTTTAACTTTTAAGCTGCACTCCTGCAGGAAAGCCATTTAACACTTCAACAGACCCCAAAGTATTCCCCTCCTGGACTATACCCCCAAACCACTAACCCAGTGTTTCCCAAACTTGACAATTTTAAGGCATGTGGACTTCAACTCCCAGAATTCCACAGCCAGCATTGCTGGCTGTGGAATTCTGGGAGTTGAAGTCCACATGCCTTAAAATTGTCAAGTCTGGGAAACACTGCACTAACCAAAGGTAGTTTTCCTAAATGACATTTAGATCTCTGCGTGTCCCATGAACTGCAGTTTGAATAACATGCATGAGTTGGCTGAACTTTATGTTAAATAGATGTTTTCTGCCTTCTCTCCTCCATTAATAATTTTCATGCTGATGTATAAAGAGTGAAGAAAAGTCTGATGTGCGATTAGAATTTAGGAGGCAGCTGTTATAAGCAGAGATTTGATGAGGGAAAACAGTATATCAAACCTGGATGCTGGTTCAGTCAGGAAATTGATTCAGATTCAGAACTTGCTTCTATTCTGTATTCAGTTTTAGTTTATACCTACAGTACTGGCCAAAATTGTGGAAACCTTTTGGGAAAAGTGTATTTTTGATGTTTGATGGCTAATAACACTACTTTCTTTTTGGAGTAGTACCATAAAATTATATATCAATGGAAAGATAATTTAATCAAGAATGTAATGCAACATAGTTTGTTCAATTATCTGTACTGTATTCTATGAAAAGTTATAGCCAAATAACCAGAAAAAGGAAGCACAACTTGTTTAGGTTGATATCAGGTAGCTTTCCTTCAACTGATTGTAGCCAATGAGCATGAGTGTTTAGAGAGCCAATCAGGTGTCATCTTGTTTTGGCAATGAGCCAATCAGATCACAGTGGGATTCAGTTCTTGATGTCCTGTATTGAAGCTGAGAGGAGGATGTTTGTCAGTGTGTTATGTGATCGCTATTAAGTTGGTTGGGGTTTTTTTTGTGTTCTTTCATTTAGTGAGCTTGTAAAACGTAATAAAATTAAAGTCATGGTGCAAAGAGTTGACTGGTTGCCCAGAAAGCGATATAAAATAGTATTATTAAGGGAACAAGGCTACAGTTATAAAGAAATTAGAAGAAAAATTGGTGAAACTTAACCAAAGATGGCATTTCTACTGTACACTTTTCCCAAAAGGTTTCCACAGTTTTGGCCACCACTGTATACAGGTAGGTGTCGACTTATAACACTACATTTAGCGACCATCCGAAGTTACAACAGCACTAAAAAAAGTGACTTACGACCACTTTTCACACTTATGACCATTGCAGCATCACCATGGTCATGTGATCAAAATTCAGACATTTGGCAACTGACTCATGTTTATGACAGTTGCAGTGTCCTGGGGTCATGTGATCATCTTTTGCGAACTGCTGATAAGCAAAGTCAGTGGGGAAGGCAGATTCACTTAACAATCATGTTACTAACTTAACAATCGCAGGGATCCACTTAACAACTGTGGCAAGAAAAGTCATAAAATGGGGCAAAACTCACTTAACAAATGTCTCACTTAGCAAGAGAAATTTGGGGCTCAATTGTGGTCGTAAGTCGAGGACTACCTGTATTTAAAAAAAATAAATCCCAGTAAAGTTATTGGGACCTATATTCTAAACCAGAATTGCAAATTTGGACACTTTTCTAATGTAATGTTTTTTCCAATGATTTAAAAACGCTGATCTATAGAAAAATTCTTCAGACTATCTTATTTTTTTTTAAAGTGACATTTGTCAAGGAGATCTTTTCTGGCTCTCTTTATGTTTTAAAGAAAGCTTAGCGCACACATATTGTGCTGATAGACCTTTTATCGAGAGATTCCTTCTGTTCTTTGAGCCTTCTGAGATTACAGTATACAATCTTATTTTGTTCCAAGGTGAGTCCAGGAGATGACAGAGATGGGAGGAAATCTCTTTGTAAGATAATTGAACAAAATGCTGTACAGTATAGTTTAAAGAATGCTAGAAAATCACTTTATTGTTTTTGTAAATGGGAAAAGAGAAAGAGGAAGGAGTATTAGGTATATTTGCCACCTTAAATTATTTAAAAATAATAATAAAAGGCTGGAAATCTCTCTCTCATTCTCCCTTTCTCCTTCCAGAAGACCATGGGGGAATTCTATAACATATTTATTGCCTTCATTATGTTGGGCCGGCAACTCATTGCATTGTAGACTCATCTTTATATCTGCAATATGGGAATTATATACCAGAACCAAATAATAAGAAATTTGTTGATCAGACAAGTACTGTGCAAAGATGATAATTAAGTATGACAAGGACTAAAGTTGAGGTGTACCATTTTTCCTCCTTATGCCTAGGCGTGCAGAATCCTCCCTTCAGTTATTGAAGCAAAAATCTCTGATATCTCATAAATTTCTGAAATACTTTTTTTAGCTTGTACGAAAATGCACAGTGGAGCAAAAGGTATTGCTTGACTGAGAGAGAAAAAATGCTTTTTGATTGCATTTGCTGATTCAACTGCAGAACAAAAAAATACACAAAGTCTTTCTACTGATGTTATCTTCAATTATAAAATGCCAATAGTCTCAGTTTAGTTTATAACAGAGTATTACGTTCACACCCCCCCCCAGAGTATAAGTAAAGTAAAATCCTCAGGGGAAACTAAATATTACATAAACCAATGTCTATGGAGATTATCAGTCATCCAGGTTATGGTTGTCCCAAAGGTGCTTTTTCAAAAGGCAACTGGACTTTCTTGGTTTTTGGTTGAAGATGTTTTGTTTCTCATCCAAGAAGCTTCTTCAGAACTTCTTGGATGAGAAATGAAACGTCTTCAAGCAAAAACAAAGAAAGTCCAGTTGCCTTTTGAAAAAGCATCTTTGGGACATGATACCAGTGAATAACAACAATCACAACCTGTCTCAAAATTATTGGGTGTTCTGCCACTGTTGGATTCAAACACTAGTTTAGACAACTGATTGTGGGATTGGGAATGTTCATTCTCTGAACTTAATATTTCTAGCTTTCAGTTAATATTCTCCCATAAGCAAAGTTGTGAGGGGAACAATCAGGGCAACAAATGCTGAACGCAGAGATTTAGACATAGCTTAGTGTACTAGACTGTGCTTTTGGGCCACACGTACCTTGTCTCCTTTCATGAAGAATTGAAATGTTGGCACAACGACAATATTGCAGAGGACTGCTACATCCTGTTAAAGAGAGATCAACTCATATGCCAAAAAGTCCTAGAACTTTTTCAGATATGTTAGCCACTACTTTAAAAAAATCTTGTAATAAAAACAGGAAAGAAAAAGGGCATTGTATACAGCCTCTTGAGAGCTGCATAAAATATTCCCTAATATTGAGGTCAGCTTGAATGATCACATTTGATAAGGTTAAATAATTGCCTTTGTGCTATGTTAAAGGTCTTTCCATGTGTGTCCAATCACACTTGGCCAATAAAGAATTCTATTCTATTCTATTCTATTCTATTCTATTCTATTCTATTCTATTCTATTCTATTCTATTCTATTCTATTCTATTCTATTCTATTCTATTCTATTCTACTTATTCTATTTTATACCTCTACTCTACTCTGCTCCTATTCCTATTCTATTCCTATTCTTATTCTTCAGCTCCCAGTATTCCCCAACCAGTTGAAGTCCACACGTCTTAAAAGTTGCTAAGATTGAGAAACTCTAGCTTAAAATGTTGTTTAAGATTGAAAGAAGTCCCTTTGCAACTGCTGAACATTTGTGTACTCATTGATTACGATTCTGCTAAGCCTAGCACACACCTTTGTTGGGATTGGCTTGTTGGTAATATTGTATGTTTAGATGACATCAGCTTTGCAATATAACCTAGAGTTAGTAGGATTTTATCTCATTGCAAACATGATTTTATAAAAAGAGTTAACAAAAGGACATTTCTAACTGGGAGGTTCCTGTTCAGAAGGACCGTATGGTCAGTGTTTTGCAGGATTCCTTAATTGGACTACCAAAGCCTGTTCTGGCTGTCAAGTTCAGGATTTGCTTTCATTCAAAGTTCCAAGGACTGATTATCTCCCTTTAGTAGTGTTTAGCTGGGTTAGAATAACTAAAGATAACCAAGCAGTTAAGATTCTAACACAGATGTTTCTATCTGTTGCCCTCTAAGAACATGAAGTTGTTGTTGGTGGTGGTTTGTTCTCCGGACTTGTTGTTTAACTTCCAAATGTTTCTTCACCAGGCTAAGTAACATCCTAGACTTCGGTTGAAGTGACTTCTTTCAGTTCTTCTCCACTTTTACGGATCTCATGTGGTCATGTGGTCAGTGGGTCATGTGATCAGCTGGTCATGCCATGTGACATGCCGTGTAATTGGCTGGTGATGTTGTGTGAAGAGTGGTCAGTGCCGTTGTTCATTGGTCTCTCGATTGATACGGCTCCTTATGGATTCAAAGGCTTCCTCAGAAATCCCACTGAGGATGTTAGCTAGCCTGGTGATGAAACATTTGGAAGCTAAACAGCAAGCCTTGAGAACAAACCACCACCAAAGTCTACCACCCGAGCTACAAATATTTTCTATCATTTCTAAGAAGTTGGATTAGAAGTTTCATCATCCTAACTAGGACTGCAGAAAGCTGCTCAAGGAGGCATCTAATCCTCGCGGATTGAGGTACTCACTTCTGCTAAGTCCACATCAACAATACAGAATAGGACATTTTCATATCGAACAGCCAATTCCTTCAGAACAAAAATGGAACAAAATTTAGATATTAAGTGTGATATAATTCCACTTCTGTTTTTTTCTCTCCTTCCTCTTACAATATAAAGTTGTACCTCTAAGAGAAAAAAAATGAAGAGTTACAAAGACAATGGATGAAATGACATAATGAATTTCAAGATATTGAAACAAGGATTTTGTTTATTTAGAATGAAATTATTGCTTCATGGGGTGAAAGTTAGATATGTGATTATTTCAACCCATAAAGACCTTTATGGCTTGTTGTCCTATTAACTGCAAGATAACATCTTCCCATGAAACTTTGCCTGACTACTTTGTGCTGAAAAAACCAGAGGGCGATCCCCCATTGTTGAGAGGTTAGGGGGCTGAAATCTAGAAATCTGTTATGATGAGGCCAGCCCTTTGAATTGTCCTCCCATTTAAGTTTTATTCATCCCCAACATCATATATTATAAAATACTGTGTTTGATATTCTTGTGCTCCATTATTAAGGTGAGCTGCCAAGAATCTTATAATTAGGATAGGATATGAATCTGATAAAAAAATATGCCTTTCATCCAGATCATGACTATAACACATCAGACATCATAAATATATGATCGTTCTCTCCTCAACTATGAATCAGTTCCTCTGCACAACATTTTAAAGTAGTATAAACAAACCAAAAAAGCCATAAATAAAGCTTATTGATTAAATTAGTTGGGTTTCCAAATATTTTAAGCTGTTGTGATTTAGCCTATTGGATGGTTGACCAGTGCTTAATTGGTTAATATGATGACCTGCAGGACATGGACACTTCTAAAGATGACTGTGGATCACTGGAAATGCAGGCCTTGTATAAACCTAAATGTTTTGTGAGTCTTAGCATGGGAACAAGATGGAATTCAAGATGCAGTCAGTCATGACTCTGAAAAATAATTCCCTGGCAGTACCTTCTGAAATCATTTTCAAAGAAGAACTAAGTCCAGTCCCAAGCAGGCACTATTGAAAGTGAATATGGGATCAAGGAAAACAGCTTTAAAAATTAAAATCTTATGCATAATAGATTTGCTCAGGCATTCACCACTACCTCCACTTAGATGGCGTGTTGGTCATGCTAGGAATCTTGTGGCCAGGGATTGTGTTTGCAGGAGTTGAAATAAAAGCTATTAAAATTGGATAATCTAAATCTAAATCTCTTAATTCTTTGAATAAAATGATTCTATACATTCTATATGATATGGGCAAGGGTCCCTTTGTTTTATGGAAGAGGTACAAGAATGTCCATTCTCTGGCTGTTCAAGTCCTACCCCCATGTGATGGAGTGAGTTCCTGTCACTTGCCTCAGCTCCTACCAATCTAGCAGTTTGAAAGCATGTAAATGCAAGTAAATAGGTACTACTTTAGTGGGAAGGTAGCATTCCATGTTTCACTGCACGTTCTGTGCTGTGGTGTAATGTCATGTTGGCCACATTTGGATAGAGCTGGCTCAATGGCCTAGAAATGGAGGTGAGCACCACCTTCTAAAGTTGGCTATGATTAGCGGAGTAAAATCTGCAGGGACTCCTTTATCTTTTACAAGAATGCCAACTCTGTGACAGCTCTGTATCCCATATTGGGCTTAATACTTTCTTGAGAGATCTATGGCTTAAGTTGCTTGCTTGGTTCACCTTACTGCTGGAAAAGCAGCAGATAACTTGTCTTAAATACTTCAGCCAAATCATCCAAAGGATTTTATATTTTGATATATTAAAATAAACCATCTCTTCTATAGGTGCTCTCCTTAAAGCCCACTGTTGCATTCCTAATCTTTTACTCTCTATTTACTGTACAGGTAGTCTATATCTGATGCTTTTCTTGAGTGTTATCCTTGAGTACCTATAGCTATGACTCAGATATGAAGAGAGGGTTAGCATCAGGTTGTATCCTGCTAAAAAAAACCCCTAGGATAATGTACGCATTGGCAATAGTCTTGCACTGTTCTTGTATCTCCCTCCTCTCTTTTGTTAAGTTCAAGGAAGAGAACAGCTCCCATCCTATGCTGGGAAAATCACTGCTTTTGAATTGCTGTCATTCGTACATTTATTAAAAATGACCTTAGGTTAAAGTCTCCCTCAAATTTAGTTCGATTCCCAGAAATTACAGGGACTCCCCCAGGTTGTTTTCTTGGCACAACACATAAGTTGCTTGCAATTGACTTCTTGTAGGATTTTTAAAAAACATCTTCATTGCTATCATTCCAACTAGATATGCTTCCACTGATTTTGGTGAGCGTCCACATAGGTAAACAATTATCTCTTTTTCCCTATCCCCACTCGTGCTCCTGTAACTTTGCCAAATTAAAAAAAAAATAGTTTTATTTGCTATATAGCTTTTAAAAGGGGCTCTATAAAGGTATGGAATGGATGGTCCAGATGAACAAAATACTGTCCTTCTTATCCCTGGTCTTGACTCCATCATGCCATATCAAATAAATGTCTGAATTACAGTACAGAGAATATGCACTATTTCCATTCACTCGCATTAGGGTTATTTTTGTTCAGATTGTTACTATAACAGCATCAAGTGTTAATGCCTCTGTACCCAATGATACAAAAAGACCAAGACATTTACAATCTGATGCTAGAATGGGGAGCGAGGGAGGACAGAAATATGAATTAAGAGGTTCGAAGAGAGACAATAAGAATCCATATTTTGGGGAATGTATTTCCAGCAAAGGGAAGAAGGCCAAGCATGCATAGACATGTGGCCCTAACCATGTTGCCAAAAAAGATGAAACGTATGCCACAATGTCATAAACATGTTTTATTAGTCCTGCTTCAACAGGACCACTTATGCAAAAACACTGACCCTTGGCAAGGCAGTTTCAATCAATTGCTCTGACCTAAAAAGGATTATTGTCTTTTCCATTATCATGTTGATATTTACAAATAACTGTTCATGATACCAATTATTTACCTTGGGAGCATCATATTGAAGAGAGTTTCTAAATAATTGTATCAAGTATGTAAATAAAAATAATAAACTTAGCAAGACACAGATGTGAGCAAATGCAGTTGTATTTAGGCTTCATTTAACTTGTGGGGAAGAACACTAAGGTGACCAACCATCCTCCTTTAGGGAGGACAGTCCTCCATTTGTAAGTTCTGTCCTCCCTCAAAAAGTGTCCTCCTTCATGTCCTCCTTTTCGATGTTTGAAGACTAATCTGCAGGGCTTTTTTTCCTCTCATAGAACGCTCAGAACGGCGTTCTGGCACCTTTTTTTGATGTTTTTTTTCAACTTTTGCATGAGCTGTGCTACTCCCACTATTGGCTTTCGAAAGCCAATAGGAATTGCTGCTGAGCGCCCCAAAACACCCGGCTGGCAAACTTTGCACATGCAAGTTGTCTGTATTATTGTTGCAATGAATAAAATGTTTTTTTTATTTACAATTTTTTTTCTTCAATTTATTTGTGTCCTCCTTTTCATTGTAAAAAAGTTGGTCACCTTAAGAACAGAGGGTTGAGGAAAGAATTTAAGCAACCAGTAGGAAGTACATTTTAGAATGTCAATGGGAGGGGAAAGAAAAGGAATGATACAGGATTTTAAAAAAATCTTTTCGCTTACATAAAGAAAAGGACGAACAATTTTGCAAGGCCCACACCATTTTGCTGTAAAGTTCACCACAACAAGGCGGGGTCCTGCGCTCTTCAGAAATTCCGCAAATTCTTTCTGTTTGGGAAGCAAGTGCAGAAGCAATCAGCAGTTAAAAACTTCACACAGTGTGAGAGATGAAAAATGCCAAAGGTTTGACTCTTTTTGAGAGAACAGTTTTACTCACAAATTAAGCATACCTTTATTTATAATTATTTTTTATATTATATTAAATCTCATTGTTTATGGGGGCGCAATGGCTCAGCGGTTAAAGAAGCTGAGCTTGTCAGCAGGAAAGCTGACAGCCTGGGTTTGAGACCTGAGTGTCGTGGGATGGGGTGAGCTCCTGTTACTTGCCCCAGCTCCTGTCCATGTAGCAGTTCAAAAGCATACAAATGTGAGTTGATAAATAGGTACCACTGTGGCGGGAAGTTAACAGCATCCTGTACACCTCAGCCAGTGGTGGGATTTAGCCAGTTCGCACCACTTCGGCAGAACTGGTAGCTAATTTTTTGTTGCCCAGGCCCAGAATGGACTTCCAGAAGTGGCATCCACACAGAGAACCGGTTGTTCACATATCTGAATCCCACCATTGACCTTGGCATATAGTCATGCTGGCCACATGACCATGGAAGCATCTTCAGACAATGCTGGCTCCCTTGGCTAACGCCCTAGAGCAGTGGTTCTCAACCTTTCTAATGCCGCGACCCCATAATACAGTTCCCCATGTTGTGGTGACCCCCAACCACTTATACATCACCGGGTGCCAGGGGCGTGGCCAAAGAAAAGGGGAAAAAAATGGCGGACAGCCTTGTTTGGCGACCCCTGTGAAATGGTCGTTCGACCCCAAATGGGGTCCCGACCCACAGGTTGAGAACCACTGCCCTAGAGTCAGACACAACTGGATAGGAGAAATCTTTATCTTTACTCATTGTTTATACAGCTGTAAATATGAGCTATTTGTAAAATGAATGGTTCTTATTTGTTTAAGAAAATTAGAATTGTTTAAAGCTGCTTTATCCAACCATGCCCCTTTTAAGGATGCAACTCCTTAGCTTATCTAGTTCACGATTCAGTTAATGCTGAATTAATGTTTCAAGTGGAAGTTTTTCCATTCCTACATGGAAATTTTGGGGATTGTATTGCTCATGTTTAGTAGCCATCTCAATTTAAAATCTTTTCTTGGTTTATCTGAGAATTTGAGTGTTCTCTGCAAATTGGTGTGAGTCAAGAGCATCCTCAATCAGCTCATAGCTTCAGAAAGATGCAGCCAAATTAGAAAACTGTTCCAGGTATTGGTGAGCTTAGATTTCTACCCAGTAGAAACTGAATCTATAGCAATCTATAATTGAAATACTTGCCTTATTGTGCATTTTTGGCAACATTGTGAGTGTCTCCAAAAAGCTCACTTAATACCTTTTTTCTTTTCTCACTGCTATTCATCTCAGAATGATTCAAGTAAAATCAGGTTGACAGGATGCTATTGTGACATAGGAAACTATGTCATTCATGGCTCTTTCAATATTCAGATAGCTGTGGAGTTTGCCTAACTACATGCCTATTAGAGAGGAACTTGAAATCCAAGTGAAGCTTTACAAGAACTGTATCCTCATGTTCTTGGATAATGTTCATGGACTGTAGTAGGCTGGATTTCCAAGAGGAAGGGGGGTGCATTCCAGAGGAATAAGAGAAATTCACTCCAGATTGTGTGTGAGAGAAAGAGGGGGGGGTATACTATCCGTAATAGGTCTCAGAGTGTATGGTAGAGGCAGATTATAGAGTGCTTCAGTTTGGCAAGATTCTGTGGAAACATTATAGAACTATAGGTGTGGAAACATTAAAGAACTCAGCTTGGAAGAATCACAGATGTGTTTTGGCCATCATTAGTGCTCAAATGTGGAGTTGACTTTTTTCCAATGGTTTTCCTCAACCTTTATTTCTACCTTAACTTATTAGTTTGCATGTCCCATGCTGCGCTTAGAGGGCATAGAGGTGTAGCTAATAAAGTGTCATAGATATAATAAAGCATCTTATATCCAAATATAAGGTTGGTATAGCTAGCGATCCTCTTCCTTTAGTTCCTGGGTTTCAAGCTTTCAGATACCAGAGATCAAAGCAGGAAATCGACGGTCAGGCACCCATCCAGAGCTAGGTTCTTCCTGGTTCCAAGAATCAAATTTGGATTTCAGGAGTTGCAATCCACACATCTTAAAGTTGCCAAGGTTGAGACATGCTGATTTAGACAAAGAGATGGTGCTTAGGGATAGATTTAGTTCCTGGGCTTGAATTTCCGAGACAAACTGTAGAGGGAAGAGGTATATAGAGATATGGTACATAACTCAAACATACTTCTGATCCAGTTTTGGATTATTGTAGGTGGCTAGCTAAGACTGACCAGTATCAAGCCTCCCAATCTGACCTTTCTGGTTAGACTCTCAATGTACATAGGATTCCTTCCTATATTCCAGTGGTGGCGAACATATGGCACGTGTGCCAGAGGCGGCACCCAGAATCCTCTCTGTGGGCATGCGCGCTGTTGCCCCAGCCCTGCCTTCCCCCACGGCCCCCTCTTCATCAGCCCCCCCCAGAGGAGATTCGCCCCTAGGCACGGCCCACACAGAACAGCACAGCCAAGCACATGGCAGCAGGGACAAGACTCCACCCTCGCGTCCGTTGCGTGTAGATGATGCTGAGGGGCGCGGACAGAGGAGATGGCTGCCATGATGCTGCTGGGCTACCTGGGCATTCTGCTACAGCGGGCTGTGGAGGCGGTGGGTGGTCCTGCAGGTGGGTGGGGTGTAGTGGGGGCAGGGCAGAGGGACGGAGCGGTGACAGGAGCGGGCGGGGTGGTTTTTGGGCACTTGGTCTCTAAAAGGTTCGCCATCACTGCTATATTCCTTCCTTACTTCACTATAGGGTGGCTTGGCTTAGATATCATGGTCATAGTAAAAACATGCAAGGATTCTTCTACTACCAACAGCAAGTAACAGTTTGTGTGATTTTTATGCTGCTTAGTTAACCCAAAAGGAACTCCCCCTTCTCCAAATGTTAAAATTAAAGGGAGACCAAATACAAGACTTCTATAACTCTGCTTTGTGTGGAATGTCTTTTTGGTTTGCTCATTTTGGAGGTACATACGGACTTGACTTCCAACAATCTGAAGTGATTCAATACAACAGGCTTACTGGTTTGGTAAGAACCAAACTTTTGATGCATCTGCTCTGGAAAAGTGTCTCAATTTCATCAAGATACTTGGTTTTCTGTTCACTTGAGATGGCCCTTATGTGAATTTCATGCCTATCTGTTAAGGATACCTGCATACTCATGTAAGAGATTTTAATTTCCACCAAACAGGCTAGCCAGAAGTGTATTCATCTAAAGCAACAAGTATCATGCCTAATAATAAGTTAGGATTTTGAATACTTGTTTTCTTGCATGTCAACATTTTCTTTTGAGGCAGTAAGCAGTGGATAAGCTGAAAATGGAGCTAATATGGGCTGTCTTTCATCAATGCAATTTAAGCATCAGCCTATTCATATGGACTAAATCTAAAAGCACAACTGTACGATTACAATTAAAGTTCAAAAGTAGGATTTGCAAAGATAAAAAGGAATGGGAAGCAACAGTAAATTATACAGATATAGTAATGATAATAGATACAGTATAACTAAAATTCTTTCCATATTTTGCATTTAATTTTTTGGGGGGCTACAACTTTCTATTTTTTTGTTTGCCTCCAAAATAGAATAATGGGTATTTCTGTATTAGAATTCAGCCATGGCTTCCCTTTCATGAATTCTGAAAGATCAGAAAAGCTACACCATAGGAGTTTGCTTAACTGTGAAGTCTGGCTCAGAACTGAAGCTTAATTTTAATGAGATTGAGAGATAATATGCTGAAAGGGTGGAGGTTTAAGAGATAATTGACTCTTCCATTTCATTTCAAGCCAACCTAGAAGATAATTGCTTCTGCAAATTGGTAGTTCCTTTAAAGGTGTGTTGAAGGAAAAACCTTCATCAGGGTCCAGTCCAAGCTGTGAATAAACAAAATGGAGACTGCTTTAAAAAGGTTGTAGTTTATCGAAGAGCAGAACCACAAGACAGAAATGTGGCTCTGGGAAAACTGATCACTTGTAGTTGGGAGTGGTGGGTTTTTATACCTTCTTGGGCTTTTGTGTTTGGTGTTGTTTCCTGTTCCTGTGGCTTGAACTTTGACCTGAGCTTTTGAGTGTATCCTTTGTGGAATTGGTGGGTTAATCCTATTATGTCCTAAAGGTCATGTCTTTAGAGTTTGGGTGGGGTATGTAGATTTTAGGGGTCTTTGTCTTTCTAATCTCATCAGCTCCAAGCTTCCTGGCCCCAACCTTTCTGAATAGGATTATCAAATCTGCATTTCTACAGAGCTGGCCTCTGCCTAGGGGAGAGGGGCTGGGGCTGGTTTCTGGGGGCTGATTTCTGTCTTTTAAGATTTCTTTCTCTATTACTGTATTCCTTTGGGAAGCATAATATTCTGCTTTTTAATATTCCCCCAAATATTTCTTTTTTTGGGGGGGAGGTGCTGTCCTCCTACAGGTGTTTCCTTTTAATTCAATGGATGATTACACAAAAGTAATATGGCTGTATTTCTTTTATGTCCTCATTTCAATTCCATCCAACATGTCACTGAAAGACTGACTTCCTTTCTCCCTTCCCATTAGGTTTGGAAGCAAGTTATGACCCCTAGAAATAATACCAAATAGCACAGAGAATAATAATAATAATAGTAGCAAAGTTGGAAGGGACCTTGGAGGTCATCTAGTCCAACCCCCTGCTCAGGCAGGAAACCCTACACCATTTCGGACAAATGGCTGTCTAGTCCCTTCTTAAAAACTTCCAGTGTTGGAGCATTCACCGCTTCTGGAGGCAGGTTGTTCCACTGATTAATTGTTCTCACTGTCAGGAAGTTTCTCCTCAGTTTTAGGTTGCTTCTCTCCTTGATTAGTTTCCACCCGTTGCTTCTTGTCCTGCCTTCAGGTGCTTTGGAAAATAGCTTAATTCCCTCTTCTTTATGGCAGCCCCTGAGATATTGGAACACTGCTATCATGTCCCCCACTTGTCCTTCTCTTCGTTAAATTAGACATACCCAATTCTAGCAACCGTTCCTTATATGTTTTAGCCTCCAGAAGAAATCTGGAGAAATTATAGAAAAAATCTATAATTTTTGCAATTAATTTGTCCTAAACAATCATGACCTTGGTGTGAAGCATTCTTTGTCATAATCTTCATATTTTGCAAGCCAGAAAACCTAGAAATAAATTAAACAGAAGAACATTAAGTAAAAAGTACAAAATTTACAAGCTCAGTTCTGACTGGACAGATCGGACTCGCGGTGTGACTGTATTATTTTATTATTTTATTGTTTTATGATTGTTTTAACTCTGTACGCCGCCCTGAGTCCTTTGGGATTGGGCGGCATATAAATAAAATTAAATACAAAATACAAAAAAAAATACTACACTACAGTATAGTCACTGCTTTATGTATAATCCACAAGATGCTAGTTCCTGGTGATGTAATGCTGAAAATTACTCAAATAACACAAATTAAAAAGAAATGCAATGGGTTATAATATCTTTTGGCTATTTATATTAATTTTTTTTCTATTTTTTAACTGAATTGTTTTGATGATTGTTCATTGCCCAGAGTCACTGGTTTGAGATGTGCAGCTATACAAACTGAATAAATAAATATAGCCAGCTAGTCAATTTTTCAGTCTTGAAAGTGCACTATACAATCATGTCTGTATGCTTGAACGGTCCTTTAAGTCAATGTTAAGTGCCTGGACTGGTCTCGACAGGTTTTTTGGAAGATTTTTAGAAATGATTTACCCTCGTTTCCTTCCTAGGGATGAGAGGGAGGGATTGGCCCCAGGTCACCCAGCTGGCTTCCTGCCCAAAGCAGGACTAGAACTTACCATCTCCTAGTTTTTGGCCGAGTGTCTTAACCACTATATCTATACCCTCTTCATGGCATACAAATAGGATTAGGAAAATACAATTTGAAATCAGATTGCAATTCAGTATGAAATCTATCCAAGAATACCGTTTTGCTTTGCATGTTTATGAGTTTTCAAAAGCATTGATGTCAGGTCAAGTGGTATTATTATTGGCTGGATATGGTGGAACTTAACAGGCCTCACAGGAAACCAGATTTTTCTTTAGAGACTAAAATGAGAGCCAAATGCAACAGCAGCTTCAAAAAAGGGATTTTCCTCAGGCCTATAATGAGGCAGGAAAAGGTTATTTATTTCTCTGTGCTTCCTGCTTCTCGGATAATTATTTGTCATTTTAATTGTGGTTCTGATTATACTGCAGGTCTGTAGTAAGTTAGTTATTGGAGTAAGTGATTACTCGCATGGATCTTCCCTGCCTCATATCTGTGGTCCCTGCCGCCTCCCAAAATCCATCGTACAATTCACCCAGATTTTTCCATGCTA